CCTCGAATAGCGGCGTCGTTGATGCCCAAAGAAATCTGTGATAGATAGCCCTCGGAATCCTCGAGGTCGCGCGCCGTCATATCCCAGTCGCCTCCGACAATGCTGGGCGTCGCCGTCCTCGCTAATATCTCCCCAGCCGCCGCGAGAATGTCAGCGTCGATGCCCGTGGCGCCAATAGAGTCACGCAGAGAACCGTTTAGCAACGTGAGCCCAGGCCACGCTGGTAAGTCAACTAGGACATGTTGCAGCCGATGCTCACAAACCAATTGACCATCGGATGGACGCCTGAGTCCAAGATCGTCGCAAAACAACATAGCTACACCACCAGACGGAAGCGATCACTCACTTGGCTTCGCAGGCATGGCAGCCGTCTTCCACCCACGGTTGGCAGCCCAACTGCATAGAGGCTCCAGCGTGCCGGGTACGAAACCTGCCCCCTGGCACATCAGTATCATCGCTGTGCCCTGGGCAAGGCGAGACTTGAGCGTGGCACGGCCCCCGCTAGCATCGAAAGCCCCCATGAGCATTGCGCCCTGCGCCTTGGCCGCGGGCGGCCTGCGGGCAGATCCACCGAGCAGGCGGGCGCCAGGGGCGAGCGATGTACCAGGAACACTTGGGCTTCTTTCCAAGCCCTCGGCACTTCTCAACAAAACTGGCTTGGCCACCTCCATCGTTGGCCAGTTCGAAATGCCGCTGCAGCGCATCCTCGCCCAACTCACCAAAGCCTCGCATGACTCCACCGCCGTCGACTGGGGGGCCGTCGGCTGGCTTGTCAGCCGTTGCGCGGCCATGGTCACCAGGACCAGTGGCAGGACCAGGCTCTGCATCATCAGTCTCCATGGGCTCGGACTTGGCGGGGATCTTCGCAGCCGGCGCCTCGCGGAGCTTGCCCCAAAGCGGCGACTGGAGGAAGGCCAGGAGGTCCTGGTCATCAACTTCTTCAGCCTTGACATCAAAGGCGTCAAGAGAGAAACTTGCAGTTGCGCCTGGGGACTTGCAACCGACACTCGCTGCGGTGGAACCAAACTCACGCTGCAAGGCAATGAGATCAAGCTTCTTTGCCTCGAGAGCAGTGAGTTTGCTCTCGAGGCTCTCACGTAGCTTCGTGAGCTGTTCCTCTTTCTCGGCGGTCTCTTTTTCAATGCGAATAGGTGCTTGCCTGGCTCTCTGTAGGCCCTGCGCCGCACGACGGTGTGCGAAAACGGGAGGTCGTAGCCCTTATTTGCAGCAGCTTGAGTTGATCGAACTTGCCCTGGATCTGCATGCGAGGGTCTGCTCCAGCATCTCCAGAAGGTACTGTCTTGAGCGAGGCCTCAAAACAGGCAAGCTGCGCAGCATAGTTGGCTCGTTTGTCTTCGTCGGTGTCGCCAGCCTTCGGCTCAGCAGCTGCCTGGGCATCGGGCGCTGCCGCCCAAGGAGCACGGGTAAACCTCGGCTTGTCAGCCGTTGGCTCGGTGCCCTTGCCCGTGCGGAAAGCATCTGCGATCGTTTTCTCGAGGGCTGCCATCCGCTTCCCGAGGTCGTCACTGCCTGGAACCTGCGGTCGGCGACCGCCTCCAACACCAGCCTGCCGCACCTGGGCCTTGGCGTCCCAGATCTGCTGCTGCTCGATCGCTCTGATATTGATGAGGTTCGGCGCCTCATTGCCGCAGGCGCACCGAACGCGGCACGCCCAATTGGCACTCGCCGAGCAGCGCCCGCACGCCCACGTGGGTCGACGAGGTCCTCGGAGGGCAGGCGGCTGCGGCGGCGGCGGCACCATGAGGGCTGTTGTCGCAGGGCCGCGCTCGGCTCGCCCTGGACAGGGATGGCGGGCGAGGGGCGCCGACTGCCTCGCTGGAGGCAAAATCGCAGGCCCCTGAAACGGAATGAACGGGGTGTGGGGGCCAACTCCCACGGTGAAGGCACGAAAGCTCGACACCTGGCCGCGGACTAGCGGTACCCGTGCTGCCCCCAGGGGAACAAGTCATCTTGAGCCAAAGTGGCTACGGAGCAGGGAGAAGGGGGGACGAGGAGGACCAGGAGGGAGAAGGGGGAGAAGGTGGTGGAGAGGGAAAAGGGCACACAAGAAGGAGACCCTGCCCCGCCCCCCCCCCGCCCCCGCAGCCCATCCCTTGCCCATCCGCTCCATTCGCTCGTTTCATGTGCAACCCCCTTCCTCTTTAATCCCCGCATCCGTTCCCATCCCGTCCCACACCTCTCCCTCACACTCTCCCATCACCGTCCCCACCTACCTCCCCTCCAACTTCCACCTCCAACTTCGCCCTCTCCCATCCCCACCCATATCCCCTGATTGTCCTCCTCTCCCTCCTCTTCGTCCTACTCCCCATCTTCATTTTCATCCTGATTGACCCTCTCCGTTCCCATCGCCCCCCACCCCGCACCCCTTCCCCATCCACATCCAAGTCATCATCAGATTCCGTATCACCATCATCATCATCATCATCATCATCATCATCATCATCATCAGCAGCAGCAGCAGCAGCAGCAAAGGCATCGGCATCAGCATCATCATCAACAGCGGCAGCAACAGCAACATCAACATCAGCATGAAGATCAACACCTTCATGACAAATCCTGCTGCACTGTCTGCCGGGTCGCAACTCGAGAATCAGGCTGTCGCACGGGACAGCCTGGGCACTCCCAGAACGCTCTCGGCGAGGCACAACTGCTGGAGAACATCCCGAGGCTGGAAACCTCCGACAATATACGGAAACGTGCGACACGTCATCAGCCGCCACCTCCTCTTCCTCCTCATCCCGCCCTGTCCCCGCCTCCTCCTCCTGGTCTTCCCCCTCCTCCTCCTCCTCCTCCTCATCATCATCATCAGCATCATCATCATCAGCAGCAGCATCATCAGCATCATCGTCAGCATCAGCATCAGCATCAGCATCAGCATCATCATCATCATCATCATCATCATCATCATCATCATCAGCAGCAGCAGCAGCATGAGTTGCTTCATCATCGTCATCATCATAATCATCAGCATCATCATGTCATCACCATCATCATCGCCACCAACATTACCATCACCATCATCATCAGCGTCAACATCGTCATCATCATCATCAGCATCAGCATCAGCATCAGCATCAGCATCAGCATCAGCATCAGCATCAGCATCCTCATCATCACCATCAGCATCAGCATCAGCATGTAAATCAAAATAATCATCATCAACATCATCGCCATCATACCACGACTACCCCCACCTTCATCATCCGCATCAGACTCGACATCAGCATGGTAATCATGATCCTCATGATCATCATGATCATCATCATCATCATCATCAGCATATCATCATCATCATCATCATCATCATCATCATCATCATCATCATCATCCTCATCATCATCATCATAATCATCATCATCATCATCAGCAGCATCGCCATCATCATCATCACCACCATCAGCATCAGCATCGCCATTAGCATCATTGTCAACAGTATCATCAGCATTATAAGCATCATCAGCATAATCAGCATCGTCGTTGGCATCATCGTCAGTGTCATCACAGTCGACCTCACAATATGGCAACACCATGGTCGCCTGCTCGTCCTCATCATCACCATCATCATCAGCATCACCAGCATCATCATCATCAACACCATCATCATCAGAATAAGCATCACGGTCATCAGCATCACCACCACCAGTACCATCATCGTCATCATCTTCAGTAGCATCATCGTCACCATCATCATCATCAGCAGCATCATCGGGATCCTCACCATCACCATAAGCATCATCAGCATCATCATCGTCACCAAGCATTCGTCCTCATCATCATCACCACCACCATCATCATCACCACCACCGTCATCATCACAACCATCGACACCACCATCTATACAAGTATAGAAACCGTCGTTGTCCACGTCAATATCCACATCCTTACCAGCATCGGCGCCAACATCCATAACCTCATCACAACCGCATCCAAAACCGTAGCCACTGGCGTCTCGGCCACCATCATCAGCAAAGGCAATACTAAGATAGTTAGCCTTGTCGGCGTCATCATCATCATCATCATCATCATCGTCATCATCAGCATCATCATCATCATCATCATCATCATCACGATCGCATCACCAGTATCAACATAACAATCATGCTAGTCGTGGACATCCCCGTTATCCTCATCAACAACATCATCATCAGCAGCATCGTCGTCGCCATGATCACCGTGACGTCGTTATCATTGTCGGCATCGCCAGCACACTCACCAACAAGCTCCATGTCATGAGCACCACCAACAGCAGAGTCAGTATCATCATGCAAGTTGCAGTCATCATCATCACCATCACCATCACCATCATCAGCATCATCATCGTCATCATCATCAGCATCATCAGCATCATCGTCCAAGTCGACAGAATCACCATCGGCACCATCGCCATGATAATCAGCATCACCATCGTCGTCGTCGTCGGCATCATCAGCATCGTCAATATCATAACCATCATCACTACCACCATTACCATCGTCCTAATCATCAATACCGTCATCGGTATCACCATCAACGTCATCGTCATCAACAACATTATGATAGGCAACGTCGTCGTCACCAGCATCGCCACCATGAGTACCGTCGTCTGCAGAATAGCTACCATGGGGCTCATCACCGCTGCCATCGTCGTCGTCCTCAGCCACCGATGGATGGGCAGCAGCAGGAGGCAAGGTGGAGAAGCATGAGGGAGCGGAAATTCAAAGGACGAGGAGGAAGAAGATGATGACGGTCGGAGGCGGCCAAGAGGGGGGCGTCCAAGAGGGGGGGGCGCAAATCATGGCCGGCGCCATGTGCGCGGCCCAGGGGCGGGGCCAGGGACGCAACGAAATAAGAAGAGGCGCCATGGAAGCTGGGGAGACATCGTGGTCCACGCCGTGATGTCCACCCCCCCCCCCGTAGTCATCACCGCCCTCTTTGCCGCCCCCGAGACGACGACGACTGCGACGACGACCCCGCCCACGGAGCTCGCGGCGCAGGCTCGCCTCCCGGGACGCCTCCGCCGCCGAACATGTCTGTCAATCATCCCACGGGCCCGCAGGGGGCCACGGAGCTCAGGGGCCGCGGCGGGGCAGCGGTGCGGGCGGCGCGGAGGCGAGGGGGGAGGGGAAGAGGGGGGAGGGAGGGAGCAGGCGGAGAGGGCGAGAGGCAAGGAGGAGGAGGGGGAGGGGGAGGTAGGGAGGAGCACGGAGGAAGGCGGGGAGGGGAGGAGGGAAAAGGGGAGCTGCAGGCCGCGCGGGTGCAGACCCCCCGGCGGCTGCCGCCACCAGCGGGGGGGGAGGGGAAGGGGGCACCAGGAGGAAGGGGGAGAGAGGGAAGTAGGAGGGGTTGGGGAAGAGGAGGGAGGGAGGAGGGAGGGAGGGAAGCAGGATGGAGGGAGGGAGGAGGAACGCCCCAGCCCCCTCTCCTCTTGGGATTCCCCTCCGCCTTCCCCTGACCCCGTCCCCCTCTCTGGGGTCTCGGAGCGTCCGACGGACCCCCTCGAGCCCCCCCCGCCATCTGGCTCTGCTCTCCTCCCGGGAGCCAGCCAGCACACGCAGCTACCCCTCGGTTTCGGCATCCTCTACCCCGCCTGCACGCATGCAACCTGGGGCAACATCAGGCACGGAGCGCGGGCCGCGCACAAGGGTGCCAAAGCTTGTCACCCAGAACGGGACTTCCCACGGGACACGCGCTCGGGACGCCCGGGATCCGCCGCGGAATGCAGGGGTCCCATGAGTCTCTCGCTCATCTTTCTTACTGACTTCGTCTGTAGGCAACAATGCGTGGCACGTAACGCCAAAAATATGCAGACGTGAAAAACAAGGAAAAGGCAGAGGGCAGTGGGGGAGGCCAAGGAGAGGCTCGTACCAGGGGAAAGCGCTCGTCATCCAAACGCTGCAACAGGTACTGAAATTGACGTGGCAAAGTCGACAGGTGGAAACAATCGGTTTCGAAATTTACGCACCGAACGCAAACTCTCACATCGCTCGTCTCCAGAAGCAGACATCTGGGCACGCGTCTAACGTGAACGAGGTGGATCCGCGGCGCTCTCTGTAGGCCCGCCTCCCCCGGATCCCTGCCCCGCCCCCTCCTCTGTCCTCCCTCGCCTCTCCCTCCTCTTCCTCCACCTGACCGATCAGACTTGACCTGAAGAAGTCATCGGTCCTGCCGAAGCTCTTGGCTGGCGACGAACTCCGCGCGTCCCCCGATTCGCCCTGTCCTTGTCCTTGTCCTCCTCCTCCTCCTCCTCCTCCGCCTCCTCCTCATCCTCCCTCCTACTCTCTCTCTCTCATCCTCCCCTTCTCTTCCTGCTCATCCTCCTCATCCTCTTCCTCCTCGTGCTCCTCCTCCTGTTGGTCCTCCCCCCCCCACTCATCACCCCCTCCCTCGCCACGCCCCGAATGGACGTTCCATTCTTGCTCGCCGTGCTGGCTGTTGCAGGGGTGGTTGCGGCCCCAAGCGGGTAGCAAACATCCCCTGGGCGACCCTGCACGAGAGATAGATGTCGCGCCTGTCCGCACAGAGCTTGTAGTACAAGTCCGCCCCTTTTCCGTCGAATCCTCGTTCGCAGTCGTAGTAGCACCCGTAGTAATTACTCGTAGCCGTAGAAGTAATGAAATAGGAAAAAGAAAATTGGCACTAGTGGTTGTAGTAGTCGTATCCGTAGTGGCAGTAATGGAAATGGCAGTAGTAGTAGTAGTAGTAGTAGTAGTAGTAGCAGCAGCAGTAGTAGTAGTAGCAGCAGCAGTAGTAGTAGTAATAGTGTAGTAGTAGTAGTAGTAGTAGTAGTAGTAGTAGTAGTAGTAGTAGTAGTAGTAGTAGTAGTAGTAGTAGTAGTAGTAGTCGTAGCAGCAGCAGTTGTTGTAGTCGTAGCAGTAGTAGTAGCAGTAAAAGTAGCAATAACATCAGCAGCAGTAGTAGAAATGCCCGTAGCAGAAGTAGTAGTAGTTGTAGCTGTAGTAGTAGTAGTAGTAGTAGTAGTAATAGTAGGAGTAGTAAGAGTAGTAAGAGTAGTAAGAGTTGTAGTAGTAGTAGTTGTTGTTGTTGTACTAGAAGTACTCGTGGTAGTAGTAGCCGTAGTAGTAGTGTTAGTAGTAGTAGTAGCAGCAGCAGTGGCAGTAGTAGTAGGTGTCGTAGTAGTAGTAAGAGTAGTACTGGTAGTAGTTGTAGCAGTAGTAGTAATGATAACAAGAGTAGTCGTATTCATAGCAGTAGTATTAGTAATGGTAGTACTAGAAGCGATAGTAATAACAATGATAGTAGTAGTAGTAGTAGTAGTAGTAGTAGTCGCAGGGCTAGTAGTAGTCGTAGTCGTGATAACAGTTGTAATAGTAACCGTAGTAAGCTTAGTAGTATTAGTATTAGTAGTCGTAGTTGTTGTTGTTGCTGTCGTTGTAATCGTAGTCGTCGTAGTCGTCGGAGTCGTACTTGTAGTTGTAGTTGTAGTAGTAGTAGTAGTAGTAGTAGTAGTAGTAGTAGTAGTAGTAGTAGTAGTAGTAGTAGTAGTAGTAGTGGTCGTAGAAATAGTTATATTAGTGGTGGTAGTAGTGGTAGTACTAGCACTTGTACATGTAGTAGTGGTAGTGGAAGCAATAAGAATAAATTTCCTTCGCCTCAACCTCCACGTCTTCTTTTCCTAAATCAACAACTTCGTGCTCAGACTGATCCTGCTGCTTCGCTTCCTGATCGTCCACATCACATCACCACCACCTTCATCGAAGCCGCCGTCACCATCATGATCATCAGGCTCATCACCATCACCACCTCAACAAACTCGTCATCATCGTCATCATCACCATCATCAGCAGCAGCATCTTCATCATCACCGCTCGCACCATCTTGGTAGGAAACGAGGTGTGAATACCGAAGCTCCCTGGATCCCTCCTGTAAAACTATCTGACAAACATGTCTATGAGACCCAAACAATGGCGAAACGAAATTTCCAGCACGAGCAACCGTATCGGAATCTTTTCCTCCTCTGAAAGCCGCCCGCCTCCGGTCGTTGTCTGGCTTTCGGGTCGCAAGTCGGTTCTTCGGCGGCCGTTCCAGAAGATCCGGGCACCCCTGGAACGCCCTCAGCGAGGCGCAGCCGCCGAAAGGCATCCCGAGGCTGGGAAGCCGCCCGAAGCCAGCGCCGAGTCTTCAGCCGGAGCTGCACAGTGCCCTCCCTTTCTGACCATCCGCCCGCGCGTGCGCAGAAAGGCTCCGCAGGGAGCGCCGGCGCTCCTCGCAGCGCGTGAAAGGCGCGGGCGACGTCGTGGCCCCGGGTGGGCCAGCTATCGGGGCGGTGCGCCGCGGCGCGGCGGACCGGAATTCAATTCACTAGGAGGCAGGCATGGACTTACCGGGCCCTGGGAGCGGCAGGGCGACCGTCTACCGTTTTCAAACGAACAGCCCTCGATCGTGAAAGCGACGAAACAGCATGTCACCGAAACGGCCTGGGAAAGCTGGGGATCCGAAGGACTTTCGGGGCCCCACCAGAAACGGTTCGGACATGGTGAAAAAGATCGTGGCCTGTATCACCCCCCAAGCGAAACGAGCACGGTAAAACAACGGCGCCAGGAAACGCGAACATAAACAACGCCGAAAGCTGCAAAACATATAAACGCAAACGGTTTATAATAATAAGAAGAAGAAGAATAATCATAATAATACGAATACCAATACTAATAATAATAATAATACGAATGCTAATAATAAAATTAATAATAAAATGATACCGGAGAAAAAAAACAATCAGATTCGTGTTAGGGCTATAGGGCTATAGGGCTATAGGGCTATAGGGCTATAGGGCTATTGGGCTATAGGGCTATACGGCTATCGGTCTATAGGGCTATAGGGCTATCGGGCTATAGGGCTATAGGACTGTGACCTATAGGGCCATAGGGCTATAGGGGTATGGGGCTATAGAGCTATATGGGCTATGGGGCTATAGGGCTATAGGGATATAAGGCTATTAGGGCTATAGGGATATAAGGCTATAGGGCTACAGGGCTGTAGGGCTATACTGCATAGGGCTATAGGGCTATAGGGCTACTGGGCTATTGGGCTATTGGGCACCCCCGGGTACCCGGGCACCCCCGGGCACCGGGGCACCCCCGGGCACCCGGGCACCCGGGCACCCGGGCCCGGCCACCGAAATCGGCCACCCGGGCACCCCCGGGCACCCGGGCACCCGGCCCCAGCCACCGAAATCGGCCGCCGACCTCACCTCAGCTTTATATCCGCTAGGACCCCTACAGAAGCAAGCTCTGATTGGGGAAAAAAGAAACCGACGCACACAGGGCCCACTGAGGGCAGGATGGGAATGGACGGAAGAGACGGATAGGAGGAAGGATTAAATAGAAGAGGGGGATATCAAAAGAAAAAAGGGGAGGAAAGGGGGGGGACGGGGGAGAAGAGGGACGGGGGGAGGAGAAAGGGAAAGAGTGGAGAAGGGAGAAGGGGAGAAAAGAAGGAAGACAGGAGTTGAGAAGGCGAAGAGAAAAAAAAGGAAGGGGCACCAGGACTTCCCAAAGGACTTTCCCGGCCTGGCATGGTCGGGATGTGAAAAAAGACTGCAATGAGAGGCCCCCGGAAAATAGCCACCCCCACCAGCTCAACCAATCAGGCATCCGAAGGGGGAATGGACTCGAAGGCCCCTTTCACCCTACGGGGCGCCACACGAGTTGGTTCACTAAAAAACTCGACCGTTTGACGCGCGAGAAAAAATCAAAGCCCCCATGTTGGTGGGGGGCTCTCAATTGCGACACCTGCACTCATCCGCAAGGCCTCTGAAGTTGGGTAGTTGTTTTAGTCTCGGGGCCAGGTGAGGGCCCCCAGAGGCCTGAAACGACGAACACCCTCCCATGCTGATGTGTTCCACGACGCGATCATGTCCGGGGGAGGAGGAAGAGGAGGAGGAGAAGGAGGAGGAGGAGGAGGAGGAGGAAGGAGGAGGAGGAGGGGCGGAGGGAAG